TCAAGAAGGCATCACTGACATCCACTGTAAAGGATGATGCTCCCCCTTGAGGTGTGGGAAACTGTGCTGAGCTTCCAGCCAGGGGATGTCATCAGCCCAGATACTCTGTCACTCTGGGTTCTCAGTGGTCAAGAGGGTGAGCCATTCCAGGCAGGACAGAAGAAACCCTCTAAGAAGGGAGTCATACATCTATAGCAATGGAAAGGATGCCACAGAAGTAAGAGGGAAAATTCACTACACTGCTGGAGCAGTTTGATAACTAAGACTATGTTCTCAGGGATAAGGGCTGGAGAGCTGGAAAAGTGCCTACCAGCCTCCCATGGGCTTCAGAAGGTGCTAGGAACCCCTGACCCACTCTTAGTGGGAGGCAAGCCCAGGGAGTGTGCTGTTTCTGTGTATATCTGAAATGCTTATTCACATGGGATGTCTGCCTGGATCATTCCATTGAGAGCTTGGGGGAACCCAGGTCCCCAACTTCTGCTGATTCACATGAGTCAGAAGATTCCAGAAAGTTTGTCCAGCAGCCTTGAACTCCTGGGCAAGAGCCAAGGACTTGGGGTGAAGAAGGCACTTTCCTCTTTTCTTCCAAATGAACAGAAGGCTTTTGATTGCCAAGTCAATATAGTGTATTGTCAATGTTAAAAACATTTAATGAACAGAATGTGTTAAACAAAATAGTCTATAAAAAGAAGAACAAAGTTGGAAGTCTCACATTTCCTGATTTTAAAACTTATTACAAAATTACAGTAATCAAACCTATGTGGTAGCAGCATAAAGACAGACATACAGACCAATATAAGAGAAACAGAATGCCCAGAAATAACCCCTCATGTACACGGTCAAATGATTTTCTCCAAGTGTGCCAAGACCATCCAAATTTGTCTTTTCGACAAATGTTGGTGGGAAAACTTGATGTCCACATGCGAAAGAATGAAGTTGGACCTTTATCTCATACCATATGCAAAATTTAACCCAAAATAAATCAAAGATTTAAACATAAGTATTAGGATATGGAGAAATTAGAACTCATGTGCATTGCTGGTAGAAATGTAAAATGATGCAACCACCACAAAAATAGGATGATGATTATTCAGAAGTTAATTATAAACAATTTGATTTACAGATGGACAAAGAACTTGATTAGACATTTCTCCAAAGAAGACGTACAAATGACCAATAAGCACATGATAAGATGGTCACCATCACTAACCATGAGAAAAACACAAGTGAAAACTAGAATGAGACACTACTTCACACCCACTAGGATGGCTACTATCAAAAACAATACAGAACACAAAGTAATGAGCATTAGGACGTGGAGAAATTAGAACTCCTGTGCATTGCTGGTAGAAATGTAAAATGATGCAACCGCCGCAAAAAACAGGATGATGGTTTTTCAGAAGTTAATTATAATTACCACGTGACCCAGCCATTCTACTCCTGTGTGCATATGCCCAAAAGAATTGAGAGAAGACACTCAAAATTTTGTACATCCATCTTCATAGCAGCGTTATTCATAATAGCCCAAAGGTGAAAACAACATAAATGTTCATCAACAGAATAGGTGAACTAGTTGTGGTATACACATACAATGGAATATTATTCAGCCTTAAAAAGGAAAGAAATCCTGACACATGCTACAACATGGATGAGGCTTGGGAGCACTGTGCTGAGTGAAATAAGCCTGACACCTGAGAATAAAGCAACATTGTTAAAATGTCCATACTACCCAAAGCAATCTTCAGATTTAATGCACTCCCTATTAAAACACCACTGTCATACTTTAAAGAGCTTTGTTAAGCTTTGTTAAGCTTTTTAGCTTCGAAAAAATAGTGCTTTGTTTTATATGAAATCAGAAAAAAACTCAAATAGCCAATGTGTTACTCAGAAATAAAAACAAGCCAGGAGGTATGACGTTACCAGACTTTAGGCTATACTATAAACCTATAATGATCAAAACATGGTACCGGTACAAAAACAGAGAGGTAGATTAGATTTATGGAACAGAATAGAGAACCAAGAGATGAACCCAGCTACTTATCATTATTTGATCTTTGATAAGCCTATCAAAAACATTTCAGTGGGGGAAAGACTCTCTTATTTAATAACTGGTGCTGGGTGAACTGGCTGGCAACGTGAAGAAGACTGAAACTGGACCCATTAACAGAAACGTATTCTCACTTGATAAAAGATTTAAACTTAAGACATGAAACTATAAAAATACTATAGGGAAAATACTTGACGAAATCAGCCTGGGAGAATATTTTATGAGGAGGGCTCCTGGGAAATTGAAGCAACCCCAGGAAGTACTTTTAAAGAGGAACCCAAAGAGGAAGCTGCCACCTCCTGGGAACGTCAAGCACCATGCCATGCCGCAGGGTGATGCTCTAGTCCAGGGTGCCAGTCACCTCCTGCACCCACAGGAGGGGAGGCTCCCTCAATGCCTGTGTCATGAAGCATGATGTGTGAGATTCCCTTTAGAGAAACCACCTAGAAACCTGATCAAGGTCCCATTCCCTCCACTCCCACAACTACCTGCTGATCACTTCAGTCAAAGGGTCACTCAGTTAGCCTAGGAAGACCTACCTTCCCTGAAGAGCAGGAATGAAAGAAGCTTCTAGCTGACTACCAGCCAGAACTTTGACAGATGGCCCTGGAGCTGGGGAGAGGGGGTCAAGGCGCCCTAGCTCTCCATTCTATCTTGGGGGTACAAGGCTGGTGGCATATATCCACTGGAAATGTTCCTTTTTCCTCTCTCCTTCTTCTGTTATTGCCCACACCCCATTTTTCAAAATATTTCACCTATTCAACTGCATGGATGAAGAAATAATTATCTTCCCCTTTTTCCTCATCAAAGACCTCTAGTGGCAGCTAAATACCAAGTTGAAAAGCCAAGAAACTTAACCATTTCTTTACTAATGCAGTCATTTGACTATATGAAGATTTCATTCCTCTTTCTGGAACCCAGCCTGGAAAGACTAAGAACCTAATGCCCTCCGGCATATGAAGGAGCTGGGCATCCAGGCAGCCTGACTCAGAGACAGAGTCAGTGGGTATCACATCTTTCAAGGGCAAGAAAACCCTGGCCTCGTGAGTCTTTGGAAAGTTGGAGAACCAGAGTTACATTAGTTCTTTTTCAATGGTGGTTTTTTAGAAGCTCTTCTGACAGTAGAACCCTGGAATTTTGTGTGACCAAAGCAGAAGGTAAAACAAGAAGCTGAAAAGTGGCAAGCTTGGAAATTTGCTTAGGATTGACCCTGGTACAGAAATGGGATCAAGAATCAATGATGCTGTAGTCTATGGGCAAATCTGTGAAATTCGCCCCAATTGAAAGGGCAGGCAAAGGGTGCAGGCAGATAATTCACTCTCTCTTTCTCTCCAAATTCCAATAAACATATGAAAAATATTTGACCTCAGCAACCAAAAGAGAACAGCAAAAACCTCCTTTTCCTATCTACTGAAAGATCTGCCTTTCCTACCAGGTGTTGGCAGGGTGAGGGAAGTGGGTGACCTTGCACAGTTTGCAAGATTACACAGATACGTCCTTTCTAGGGCAATTTGGAAGTGCCTACCAAAAGCTTTAATCATATACATTCTATTTGATTTGGAAATTCCATGGAGGAATTTTTCTTTAAGGAAAGAATCATAAATCTGTTCAAAGAGTTATATATATTGTTTATAATAGTATTGTTAATAATAACAAAAAATTTTAGAGGGGAATGCAATATAAATGTTCAACAATTTAGTGAATAAACGATTCTATCTCCATGCTCCAGAATACTACACAGTTGTTATGAGTAGGGGTGCTGAGCAATAGTTAATGGCACAGAAATAAATATGGTGTCAAACAGTGGATATTGTACCAGCCCGTTCTTTTAAATTATATATGCATAAAAGACTAGAAATGAATGCAAGAGATATCAACAATGTTTTTTCAGGTGATAGAATTACAGGGAATCTCTTTTTATGTTTGTATGTCTCTACTTTCTAAAAAGAATGAATAATCAAATTTGGCTTTTGTGATAAGGGAAAGGATCAATAACATGCTCTAAAAAAGAATCAATGAGGTTGCAAGTTATTATGGTAGAGACCACAGAGGAACGTGTCAAGATGGGCCGGAAGATAGAAAATCAGAGACAGAGAAATTGAGAACTGAAGTTCATTGAGGCAGAGGATGTGTTTATTTCTACCTACCTGGTCTGCAGGGGAAGGTAGAACTTGGAGACCATATAGGCACATGCTGGAAGGCAGAATCCACCAAGTGTGTTACTGTTCTACTGTTCTATTGCATGAGCATGAGAAAGCCAGTTCTCTTCTAGTCCCAAAGTCTTTTCCCCCCTCTGATGGCCCATGACTTAATGAGAGCAGGGTATTAGGTGCCTCCTGGAGTGTCCCCCTTTGGGGAAAGGCTAAAATGATCAGCAGTGAGAGGAGGTGAGGTCAGAACTTTGGAGGACAAATATATCTACTTGTAGAACTAAAACGACTGAAGTTAGGGTCTTTACCCAGAAAAGTCACTTGAGATAAGTTGTTTTACTCCTAAGTAAAATCAGAAGTTGTCAGTGGGCAGCTATGGGAACTGCAAGTTCTGGTTCCTATTCACCATACCCTGGCTGTAATACACCTTCCTTGGGCATCATAAGAAAGGAAAGGGAATAGGAAGATGGGGAAGGCCCTCTTGATCTCAGAGGGGAATCCTGGAAAACACACATCAACAATAAGCATTGAGAACACAGGATTCTTTGGGGGTCACAGCTATCCCTCCATCATACCTCCAGGTCTTCTTGTATTTCCCACTTCCTTGAACCCTTAGAGCCCATAAGCCTGCCTGTGGGAAAGCCCCGAGGAAGGGAGTAGAGATGGCTCTTCCCTTGGGCCTTAGCCAACAAGGCCCTGGAGGAGTGGCAAAGGGAGGTGGAACCAACCAGAGCATGACCGAGTACTGGGTGAGTTAAGCCCAAGCAGGGACGGTTATCAGGCAGATCATCCCAGACACTGACCTCTTGGCATGTCCATGACATTGAAGCTGGCCAGCAGGTCGCGGCACCACTGGCGGTCACCTTCCACTTTGCTCAGCCAGTTGTTGCAATTGAAGTAGTAACGAAGATGAGGCCGCTTCATGTCAGTCACAATCACACGGTCCAGGTACCAGCTGGCATTCAAGCCTGTGTTATCGTGCTCAATTCTAGGGCAGAAGCCCACATTGTTACTGGAAGAACTGAAATGATACCCCCTTCCCTATTGGACTACCCAAATGTTTACTGGAAAGAAAGGTCCAATCATTTTATTGTTGCTACTTTATCTCTTCCTCACAGGGGCCAAGGTTTGCAAGATGGCTTGCAGACCATCCTAGTCTTCCCCTTTGAGGCCCTGTCTAATCAGTACTGTCACCTTACCTGGCATTTAGAAGAAGTGCTTCTTTTTCCAACTCTAGTCCAAGTGTGTACACACAAACACACACACACACACCATTTCCTGAAGCCCAGCAGAGTCAAGGTCAAAAAAGACAGTTCATTAAGACCATAACTAAAGGGAAGAGATGTCAAGATGGGAATATACACAAAGCAAAAGGCAGCTAGACCATCTGACTTGTAGGACACAGCTTATCCCCTGGGGCTCAAATTGCCCTTCCCACTGCTGCAAGACAATTAAATGCGTTCCTCTCTTAGTGACTTTCAAACCCCATGATATGCAGGCATTCTTCTCAGTCACACCACCCAGAGCCATTTAGACCAGGGTTGTCCTTCTGATGCAGCCTAAACCATTCATATGAGCTACAGACACAAATTAAAGTTTTTCTAGTAGCCATATTTAGATACAAAGAAATCCGTGGAAGTAATTTTAATAATACATTCCATTTAATTCCACTTATCATTTCAACATACAATTATGTAAAAACTTATTATAAAGCTATTTTACATTCTCTTTCTTTTGTTAAATCTTCAGAAATCTGGTGTGTATTTTATACATATAGCACACCTCGTTTTGGACTAGCCACCTTTCAAGTGTACAGTAGCCACACGTGTCCGAGTCCTGGGGTCAGTATAGATGAGGCACTGTTATTAGAGAGGAGGAAACGGGTTTGGAGAGGTGACCTGTCCAAATCCCCATACAGTAAATAGCCAAGGGGACATTTAAATCTGGACCATTTGGATTCAGAGACTCTGCTTCTAACCACTATGTGATAGTGGCTGTTAGAGCATATGAGCATTTCTTAGATTTGTGAAAATTTGTCTCAAATTGCCATAAATCAAAGAAATGAATCTCTAATGGGGAAGTTTAGTGACTAAAAATGTGCGGGAAAGATTTGGACCTTGGTAACCCCTCGAATAGTGCCTGGAGAGTAATCAACACCCAGAAAATCAAGTCCTAATCTACTTGCGTCCCCCTACCCCCGCTCCCCAGAGGCCAGACGCTCACCTGATTTTGTAAATGAGGCCCACATTGTTGGTTCTCACCCGAAACACATCGACGTTGGCTTTCTCGAAGGCAGACTCACTCCTGCAATGAACATGTACACAGTTAGTGCAAACAAGTAGCTGGCTCCCAGGCCTGGGGGGGAGAGCCAAGGGCTGGCACCTGCCTTCTTCCTCCTCATCCCACTCCTGGGAAGAGTTACCAGCAACCAGATTCTGACATTCCTTTCAGACAAGGTCAGAGAGGAGTAGGGCAAGGACCACTAGTGAGAGGCCCTTCCTCTCCCACACCAGCTTCTCATGTGATGCTTGCTGCAAGTCACCAGGGGAAGCATAGCCCGCAATGCTATCTTTGTTTTACAAACAAGTGAACTGCTAGTTGGTAGCAGAGCTGGGACCAGAACCCGACTCTCCTGGTCATGCTCCTACATGTATGGTTGCTCTGGGTTGGGAGGGTGGAGGAGGAAGGAAGACGTGGTGAGTGCCTTGGGCCCCTGGGCCTGCAGACCTCCTGCCTCTCCCCTTCAGTGGCCTTGCTCTTGCCAGGAAGCATGTCGATGGCAGCCCCAAGTGGGTGCAGACCTTGGATGACAGTCCATTGTCCTGCCATTCCAACAAGAGAGAAAACACTCAGTCCCAAAGTAGCAGCCAGGGAGTGGGGCAGTGAGGGAAGTACACATCTGGCATCGCAAGTGGTGTGAACAGAAGCAAGTGCACCTGAGACACGAGGTAAGATGTCCAGGCAAGTCCAGATTCAGGAGCATCCTAAATTCAGTCAGCTTACCAGGAGGACTGGAGCAGCCCTGCCACACAGTCCTCTGGGATTGGAAGCCTGAAGCTCATGTCGACATCTTCGACATCTACTCCATCCTCCAGGCAGGGCCAACACTGCCCCTATCCCTGCCATCTCAGCCCAGCAGCTCTTCCAACCCCACAGTTTAGCTGCAGGCCTCCTGTGGTGCTCTCAGCCAGGGCTCTCAGCACCAGCGCACAGGCCATGGGAAAGGAAAATCACAGACAAAAAGGTCCCAGAGGCACCTTTCTCAGGAAAAAGAGGCCCCAGAGGAGCACTCCGGCTGCAGAGGGTGAAGAGGAAAGGGGGCAGAACTTTCTGGGCTTTGCTGAAATGAAGGAGAAGACTCCTGTGCTTGCATGTGCCTGAGAAAAGGAGGGACTGAGGCAGGGAGGCCACAGGCCACAAGTCTCTACTCCACCATTGCATAATAAAGATGGAGAGTGTTGTCTGTTGGCTTCTGAGGAAGAACAAGGACAATAAGAAATCTTTTCACGCTAATCCTAGCCCTCTGGGAGGCCCAGGCAGGTGGGTTGCTTGAGCTCAGGAGTTCTGAGCACAACAAGACCCTGTCTCTACTAAAAATAGAAAAACTAGCCAGGTGTCATCTTGGGTTCCTATAGTCCCAGCTGCTCAGGAGGCTGCTGTAGGAGGATAGCTTGAGCCTAAGAGTTTGAGGTTGCTGTGAGCTATGACACCATGGCACTTTAGCCTAGGCAATGAAATGAGACTATGTCACAAAAGAAAAAAAGAAAAGAAAAGAAAAAGAAGTCTTTTCCAGGAGGCACCAGTAAATCTTCCTTCCCAGGAAAATAAACTTACCAGATTCAACATTTAAATGAAATTAAACAAACCAACAGTCACAGGAGTCTGGATGATGTGGGAATTTCACTTCCGAGGGAACATCCCAGCACACCCCGTGTTTGCATTCAGAGTCACAGCAGCTGTTAGTAACTTGGAAAATTATGTGGACATCACTTCTGCCCATCAGAATTGTGTGAATAGGAAACACAAAAAGGAGTAAGAGGTATTTTTTGTTTCAATACATAAGGCAAGGCAACTGATCTTTAAAACAGATAGGCAAGAGTCCCTACTTAAATACAATAAGCATCCTAAGATAGTCACCATAGGAAGCTATATAACTAATACTTTACAGCCATTAGAAAAATCTGTTATAAAAGAATATTCAATAAAACAGACAGGTTTATGATGCAGGCTGAAAAGAAAAAAAGCAGGTTAAGAACAGAATTTACAAACAGTAATCAATACAAACAGGATATCATTTTCATTTAAAAACAACAAAGAGTGGGAGGATTTCTACGGAAGTATCATCTCTGGATGGTGAGAACATTATGAAGTGCTGGCTCTTTGTTCTTGTCTATATTCGTTTTTAATTTTCTGAAAGGAACACACACCATTTGAGTAATTTTGATGAAAACACAGTCGAATGTTTCAGCAGCTCCCTCCGCCCCTCCCCCACCCTGCAGGCTCCTGGAGGGAATTCTCTGGAAGGAGTTTGGGGCTTGCTGGGCTCCCATCTCCTGTGTGTGTGGAATGTGAGAAACAGCCAACACCAGTGATTAAGAGAGAAGGAGGGTAAAGTGTCCTCATTCTTAACCAAAGATGGAAGGAAAGCAAGCTGTTTTCTGGGGCACCTCCAACAGCTACAGTCAGTAAAGGGGAGCTCTGCACCTTCAGAAAGGCCAGTGCACCCATGACACCATCATTTAAGCATGTGAGTCATCTCCAGACATGACCAGGTTGAGCGTGGGTACATATGCTCCAGTGTGTTTGCTAAATAATCAACCCTGGTGCTTCAGAGTCACTGGGGTCAGGCAACGGATAGCAGCTGGGAAACCAGAAGAGACAGAGGTGCCAGGATGCACAGAGACAGCACTCACAGTGTCTGGGACCACTCCAGGGTGTTTGGGGGCTCCACAATGCTCGGATGACCTGAGAAGGGCCCCCTCATGCGGGAAGAAGAGGAACGGGCTGCAGAGACACTCCTGGGAGGGGCTGGGGTAATCCCAAACAACCTCCTAGCCCCAGCATACTCAGAGGCCAGATTCTCAAACCCCCACTTCTGATGAGGCAGGATGCAAATGCTTGTGGGGTACAGAAAACTGTGTATGGAAAGGGAATAGCAAAGGACAGAGGGTGCCCGGTCACAGGAAATACTAGAAACAGGATTCTTCATGCTTCCTTGTGGGAGGCTGGGGCCTCACCACGGCCGGTGGTCAAACCTCAAATAAAGGCTAAGGCAGTGCACAGCCCCTACAGCTCAGTGACCACACTGAGGAGCTTCCACAAGCTGCACAGGGCATTTTAGCCGCCCACCAGGCAGAGTCATCCGGCATTCTCTGACATGCTCCGATGGTGAATTCTCAACAGAAGAACCGTGTTCCAGAGATACATGAGATCCCATCCTTTTGCCATATTCTGAGCATGTGACCCATTGTTGGAGGTAGTCCTGAGTGGTGGGGAAGGGGACAAGGGAACCCCAAGGATGGGGCCCCCCTCTGAGAGCCTCTGCTGCCAGCACTTAACTAGGATGAGGGTCAGGCTGGAGGTTCACTGTTGAGGGGATCTAATGCATGTTGTTTTCTTTGCTGCCCTGTGGAAGCTCCAATGAGTCCCAAGGAATGTAGACGCCAGACCACAAGGGCCAAATAGTCAGCATTTAACTTCAGGCACCAAAGTTCCTCTTGGAGTAGGAATTATTTTGTATTGGAAAAAAAAACCCAGACAATTTGGCATTTGAGAGTGGAAGGTGAACCCCTGAGGCACAGGAGAAAAGGCAGGAGAATGAGCAGAACTGAGGGGTGAGACAGGAGGGGACGAGGCGGGCGGGAGCACCACGGCCTGATGTGGCGCGGGCTGTGGGACAGGGGTCAAGAGGAAAGCCCAGGAAGGGTAGTTGATGGCTGAATTTTAAGACTAGGTTCTAATGTTCCATTATAAGTTCTTTGCTCTGTTGTGATTGGAGGCTGTCTGGTGCCTGGTGCCATCAATAAAGGCTATCACACACAGAAATGCTGTGTGTGTGTGTGTGTGTGTTGGTTCTGGCTGACACTGTGGGTCTGGGTTTGGGTATCACCAGGCAGTGTGGTGAGGACAGGGGAGCAGCAGAGAGTAGGGGTGAGGAGATTGAGGGACCAAGGACCTTCTCAGCCAGACCCCAGGCATGGGATGAGGCGACCAATGTCCTGAGCTCTGTAAATGTTTTGACACAATGACTATGCAAATGACATGAAATTTATGTGAACCAGCTTGATGAAAGTATTTCAAAATGTATATGAAAACACTACACCGTACCCCATGTTTGCATTAATGTATATAGCTATCATTTAATTAAAAAAAGATTAAAAAAAAATAAAAAAAAATAAATCTCACAGAGCACAGTGACTTCGGCTGCCATCTGCTTCTGTGTCACATGGCAGCCTGGAATTCCTCAGGAAGCCATCCTCCCCTCCCAGATCCACAGTTTTCATCTTGAATTGAAAGGATCTTAGATGGCAAGGACCATGTCTACAATTCTCTCTGTAGACTCTCGCTCAGTTCCTGCTGCAGCCAGTCCTGGCCTTCTCTTTCCCTATCCATCCTGCTCACTATGGTCAGATGATCTCGGCTGCAGTCTAAGTTGAGCCTCCACCAAACCCCTCTGCAGCATGGCCTTCTCCAGTCTGGCTTCCTGGCCTTCCTGGGCTTCCTCCTCCCAGCCCTCAATGTACCCTCCACCTCCACACAGCCCCCTTTCAGCCCCCACCTGTGGTGTCCTGCTACCTTCAGACTTTTGCAAACTGTTTTTCTTAATCTAAAGAACCCAGTTCTGCCCCTCTCTTATCTGAATCCTTCTCACCACTTGAGACCCAGACCCTGTCCCTCCCTGGGAGGTCAGCCTTGCTCTAGCCACATGGATACCCTTGCTGAGCTCAGACTATTCAGAAGAGCTGGGATAGAAGCTAGCAGTGCAGAGCATACCTGCCTCAGTCCACCCTCCGGGTCCCTCCATCATCCTAACATGGCCCTCTGGCCTCTCCAGGCTCACAGCTGGGACTCTAAGCTATGCCCATATCACTGAAACCATGTGCTCAAGAAGAGCCCTCTTGACCAGCCAGAGCATGACACAGACACAGGCAGAGACGGCCCCCAGCACAGCCCTGGGCTAGTGGGAATGTTTAGACTCTTCACCTTCCTAGGAGAGGGAAGGCTGGAACTCAAGCTCCTGGAACCCAGGACATGGTGGCAATCCTTCACAGCATTTTATAAAAGGTGACATGGGGCCCTTCCCAAGAAGATGTGTTGACAAGTGGGAAAGGTGAGGAAGAAGAATCTGGGTGCATTAGAGGAGGAAAGACAGTGAAGACAACCACCAAGGGTTCATTTTGTTCAAAAAAGGCAATCTGGGGACTCTGGAAACCAGCTGGGCAGCTCCCCAGTGTCAGCTGCTTCTCCCTACCCTGGGGCACTCTGGGAAGGACACATGGCAAAGAGGATGGAGGTTTCATGTATTCTCTTTACCGTGCCCACATCGCTGGAGGGAGAGACTTCAACAAGCGAGCCACACTGCAGAGTAAGCAGTACAAGAAGGCAGGTACCCTGTTCTGCAGAAATGGACAAAATAGGACGTTACTCCTGCCTCGACACTGCAGCATTAGTGCCATAGCCCATGTTCCGGAACACAAGTTGTGTGAAGCCTGATCAGCCTGCAAGGCACAGAGCCCAGGTATCTCCCAGTCTGGGGACCCCACTCCTCTATGGCTTCCCCTGCCTTCCCTGGAGGTGCCAGGCCACAACCTGGAGCCCCATGAAGCCTTAGGGAAGTCTCTCACACAGCCCAGGGTCAGAGGGCTATGTGGTTGAGTGAAGTGCAAGAAGCAAGATCAGCCTTGAGGACCAGCTTCACCACCAAAAAGCTTCACAGTCTGAGCTCCTCACTGCTCTACTCTAGGCTCAGTTTCCCCAGGGAAAGGGTGGCACAGAGCAGTGGTTTCAAATGTCTCCTAGACCCAGATCCAACTGATCAGCTCTCTGTTCCATTAGGCACAGATTGAAAACCAGCCATCTAGGCCACTCCTGAAGTCCTTCAACATCTCTGAAATTTACAGTTCTGCTAAAGTGATCAGAGGTTTGCTGCATGTCCATCTATGGGTGCATGTGTGTAGGTGGTAGGGAGAGGACTGGGAAGAAGACAGCTGTCCCTGCTCTCACCAGGTCACAGTACAGGGAAGGACACAGTGCATGACCTCCCCAGAATCCTGTCTCCCGACAGCTCTGTGATGATATATAAGGAAACCAAGGCCTTGGATGCAAAGAGATTTAACCAGCATTCTACGGAGCTAAGTGGTAAAGCCGGACCCAGACCCAGGTGTCACGATCCTGAGTGTTTATTCTCCCACATCAAGGGACAGCTAATGTGAATTCTTAGATCTAAATTAGGCATTACTATTCACAAAAATCAGGAGAGGGATTGAGGAAGGCTAACGGGAGATCCCGGGGAATTCCTGGCTGACCCATGATCTGTCACTGGCAGAAGTCCCATACCCCTTAATACACCTGCAGTCAGACGTGCCTTCCCCCCAGAGAAGCAGGTCACCCCTGGGTCCTGGAACTGCATCGGCACAGATTAACGGCCCAGGACTCTACCATGGCCGAGTGGTACTCACTTGCTGGTGAGATGGAGCTTGGGAGAGAGCCCATTCTCTCCAAAAAGTGTGACGAAGACATTGGCATCTGTCCCTGCACCACGAACATCACCTGTGGCTGTGACCACCTCGTACACTGGGGGAAGAAAGGAGAAGGCAGATTGAAGTCTCAGAAAAAAAGAAAGAAAAAAGGCAGAATCCTGTGTGGGCCTGGGGAAACCAGAACTCCTGGCAGCCCCTCAGGAGATGCTCAGGCACCAGGGACTCTGGGAACCTCTGCCATACCCTGTGAGCCTCTGGGCCAGGGCCAGACCCACACCACATTCTGCTGCAAGACTAACACTTCACACTTAAACTGTGCGCTCATTTTGCAGAAGATGAGCTCAAGGGCAAGGTGACAAGTCCAGTTCACACCCCACACAGTGTCAACACCAAAGCTCAGCCCAAAGCCTCTGGACATCCATTCTGTGATCTTCCCAGCACAGTGCAGGGATACTGTCCTAGACATCACCTTCTTCAGAGGCTGCACTTGGCTCTCAACTTCCTCTCCACACTCTGCACCATGTAGCTATGGCCAGCCCTCACCTGCCATGACCTCCTGGGCACTGGCATTTCAGTCTCAGGATAAGCCATCCTGGGCTCTGTCTTTGGCAGTGGCACTGATTTCCCTCTCTAACCCTGTCAAGTTTGTTCTGTTTACCGTAGACATTGTCCCTTGTCAGGGCATCTGTACAGTTAGACCACTGTCTGCTTCCCAGGCAGAGAAGCAAGACTACATCTGGCTGGATTCTTAGAGACAGCAGAATCCACTCCAGCCTGGTTAAGCAAGCGGGATGCTTCAGGAACCTCCCAAAGAAGCCTCACAAAAGTGTTGGAAAGACTGGAGACACCTGTCCTAGACCGACTTCCATAAACAACTCCCAGAATCACAGCCCAGAACGGGCCTGGGGAAAACCACTGCCACCAGCCACCCTACAATCATGTCATCTCTGCCAAGACCAGAACACAGACACTATCACCTCTCCCTTCTGCTGTGACTCATGTCTCCAAGATGAATGCCTTGTCTCCAGCCCTTTTTCATCATGAGGGTCACTCCTGAGTCAAAGTCTTGCATTGGAACAGCTGATTCTAGGGACCTAAGGCACATGGCTGCAGCAAGGAAGGCTGAGCAAAAAAATAATAATAATTATAAACCACTCCACGTTGAGAAAATAGAATTCTCAATGCGGGAGCCACCGAAATGTGGGCAGGGTGTTTGAAATATCCGTGGCACGTGACAGATGTCCACCACATCATGGGACTGAATGAATACCATACTTAATGATTATAGTAGCAAACCATACTGATTGATCACTTACTATTTACCCTGAGCTAAAGGTTTTATATATATATGACTACACTTGATTATTAAAGCAAACTTATTATTATTCCTAATTCCAGACTTAGCAGGCAGGTCTCCAACCAGCTGCTGAGTATATTTGAGCTGCCCCAAAGAGGCCCAGCTCAGAAAGCTATTTCAAGGTTAAACATTCATCATTCAAACCTGTCAGTGCAGAGCCCATTGTACAGAGGGAGTTTGTCCTGGGTGCAAATGGGAGTGTAGGGGGTGGGGAGCTGAGGAATATTAATAACCTTGAGCCCTTCTGGTGGGTTAGGCACCATGGCAGGTGTTTTACAGATACTGCTTGCACTACGGCTTGCCCGGGAGCTGGCACAGGGTGGTGGAGAGTATTGGACCTTGGTGCTACAGGGCTCTGGTACAGCCACTATCTCCTCCACTTAGAGCAGGTGACCCTGGACAAGCTGTAACACCTCTTTGTAACACCTGGACAATAATGCCTGGTTTGCAGGGGTTAGCGGTGATGTACATAAAGCCTCCAGTACATAGAAGACTCAGTAACAGCCTGATTTTTTAAACTATTATTGTTTGTACAGAAGAGCCCTCTGTAGCTCTGAGAACTCAGAGCTTGTTCCTTTGGCAGACAGGATGCTAGCTCGGCGTGCTCATGATGCACATGTACTCCAGAAGCCTCACTCTCATGCGGTCCTTCCAGGCCTGTGATGTGCCAAGAACAGGAAGGCTTGAGGGTGAGAGGACCTTTGGTTTTGATAAAGGTCCCTGCTTCTGATGAAGGTCCATCAAGGCACCATGATGGGCAGAAAGGAAGCAGTACATTTGCACAGCTCCTTGTCTCTTGTGATAATCAAGGCCTTAAGTCTTCACAGTCTATACCACAGGGGAACCTGATTTACAAACAACCCCTGAAGCCCAACTCCCTGACCCTGCTGAACGCAGATCTGGGCCCTGAATGTTGTCGCCATAATGTGTGCAAATCCATTTCCAAACCCAATGTGCACAGAACAACCAGCTCAGTGGAAATCCTAAAGCCACATCACACATGAGAGAAGACCAGGGGGGCTGGGGGAGCTCAGTGTAAAGGAGAGCCTGGGGTACAGGAGATGGGTGAGAAAACTACCTCAATTGTTGATTCAGGGGTACACAGCTACTAGCTGTAAAAAACCAGATAAATTATACTTAATTAAAATTCCAGGCATCCTCAAACTATGGCCCGCGGGCCACATGCAGCCTGCCAAGGACCTTTATCCAGCCTGCTGGGTGTTTTTGCCGCCACCGCCTGTCCTGCTTAGCAGCCGACTCAGCCCGGGGCCCACAGTCCAGCCCTCCAACGGTCTGAGGGACAGTGAACTGGCCCCCTGTTTTAAAAGTTTGAGGACCCCTGATTAGGACCATCAGAGAGTGAAAAGGCAGACCCAGACTGGGAAAGGTATTTGGAATGCATATATCCAAGAAGGGATTCATAGCCAGAAGATGCAAAAAATTTGCATAAATCAATAAGAGAAAGAGAAACCACACAATTCTTCCACTGGCAACATTTATTTTTTGTTGTTGTTGTTTTTTAAATAAGCATAGTCTTGGTTTTTTTTGGCCGGGGCCAGGTTTGAACCTGCCACCTCTGGTATATGGGGCCAGCACCTTACTCCTTTGAGCCACAGGTGCCACCCAAAATAAGCATATTCTTAACAGAATGTCTGGAATGTTCACTTTTAAGTATTTACCCAAGAGAAGTAAAATCATGTCCACACAAAGACTTACACACAAATGTTCAGAGCAGCGCTGTCCCTAACAGACCCACACTGGAAGCAGCCTAAATGCTGTCAGCGGGTGAATGGATGAACCACCTTGTTTATACTCATATGATGGGATACTACTCAGCAAGAACAGGGAATGTATCGACGGGTCCAATACAAATGAGACTCAAGCGTGATGCTAAGCAAAAATCAGACGCGAAATACTACATCCTTTGTAACACCATTTATACGAAACTCTAAAAAAGGTAAAATCTAATCTTTTGTAGTAGGAAGCAGAAAAGTGGCTGCCTAAGCTTGGGAACAGGGGAATGGACTGGGAAGGGACACAGGGAACCCTAGGGAGCTAATGTAAATGTATTGACTTGCTAGGGGTTCACAGATGGAACTCTCATCAAACAGGAAATTTAACATAGATGTGTTTTGCTGTAAATAAATTATACTTCAATAAAGTAAGAGACTGGACAAAAGACTTAAACAGGCATGTCACAAAACAGGATATGCAAATGGCCAACATCCATATGGAAAAGTTCTCAGCATCATTGTTCAGCAGGGAAATGCAAATTAAACACAGCCAGGTACCCCCCTAGAATGGCTAAAATTGAGAAGACTGACAATACCAAGTACTAGCAAGAATATAGAGCTCCTGTCACTCACACGATGGCAGGCATGCAAGGTGACACAAGCACTGGTGGCTCAGCTTGGGCTACCTGTGACCTAGCAACTCTACTTCCAACTGTCAACCCAAGAGAAGACCTGAGCGAGATTTGCAGCAGCCATACTCAGAACAGAAGAAAATAAGACATAACCTCAATTTTCACCAATAGTAGAACAGTTAATGTAAATGGTGATCTATGTATCAAACGCAATGGTACTCGACAATAAAAAAGAACAAACTGTATAAGGTATCACAACATGGATAAATCTCTCCAATATACTATTGAAAGAGATCCTAGATGCTCAAAAAAGTGTACCTGGTATGATTCCTTTTACACAAAGTTCAATAATGGGGAAAAAACTAACCTACGATGACAGAATCAGATTTATTACTTCTGGAGAGGGGTGTGAAGCAGATTTCTAGGGTCTGGAAATGTTCCATCTTTTGATCTGAATGGTGGCTCCACAAGCATGTACACACATAGAATGTCACCACTCTGTCCCTTCATGAGTTTTGCACTGTCTGTACATTCCTCAGTTTAAAAAAAACTCAATTTGGATGGCTGAAGAGCTGTCCTGTGGAAGACAGATATCTTGCAGAAAACACAAAATTCTCCTCTACCAGAGGGGAGGACTCTAACTAATAAGGTCACCTGGGCCGCACAAAGAACTGTCAAGGTCCACATAGTGTTGTTCCCAGCACAGAGCCTGGCACACCGGGAGGTGCTCAATAAATATTTAACTGGATGGATGAATGAATGAGAAAACATAGGAATGAATGAAACAAGCAATGAAATGAACATGACCATGGAACTAAATTGGCCATGATTTGAATCTCAATTTTTCCACTACTGGCATTGTGATTTAAACCAAATATTTTACTAACCTTCAATTTCCTCATCTCTGAAGTAGGAACAGATTCTTCCTCACAGGATGATGGTAAGGATTAAATCAAAGTGTTCAATATTCATACTCATTGACCTAGCACTTCTTATTCTGAAATTTTATCTTACACTCTTCCACAGTTGCATGAAAAGATATGTATTCCATAAGTGGTTACCATCATAATCATTAACATTGACACGGTTTGAGTACGTCCCCTCTAAGATTCAAGTGTTGCCAGGTGATAGGATTAAGGGGTAGGGCCTTTGAGAGGGCTTCTCCCTTGTGAATGGGATCAGGTGCCCTTTTAAAGGGTTTGATGGAGGGATCAAGTCCTCTCTTGACCTTCTGCCATGTGAGGGCACAGCAAGAAAGCTTTCACAAGGTGTTGGCATCTTGACCTTGGACTTCTCAGCCTCCAGAACTGTTAAGAAATACATTTCTCCTTAGATCACCCAGTCTCTGACAATCTGTTATAGAAACACAAAACCAACTAAGACTGAAGTCACTGCTATTATTTCCATTGACAATATCCCTAAGGGCGCTGCCTTGGGAAATTGTATCACAGCAGGTGCTGGATGACCCCCATCTGGGAGGCAGGAAAGGAGATAACCCCAGGGCTAGAAGCTTGTGCAGAATGGGCTGTGAGGTTCCTTCCACCCTGTCTTCCTTTGATGTCTTAGTACCAACATGCCAGGGTCAGTCTGCTCTCAAGTCACTGAGGCAGGTGCCCTCCTCCCTCTGGCTGTTAGGAAACTCCAGGGTAGCCAGAGGGTGGCCCAAGGAACAGAGAAGAAACACCTAGGCTTTTCCTCTTTTCTTCCTCCTCATCACATTCACCGAGATTCTCCACGTAACAATAAACCTCAGAGCTCAAAGAGAGTAGGAGACTCATTGTTCTAGAACTGTGAGGGTGACAATCACAGTGCAGCAGGAGCTCAGCTTGTGACTGTAGATAGCATCATCCACCCTTGTCCCTGGTGCCTGCATCAGACTGGGGAGTCAGTGGTTCTCTTAGAAATGTCAGCATGGGCCAGGCATAGTGACTCACACCAGTAATCCTAGCATTCTGGGAGGTCAAGGCAGTGGATTGCTTGAGCTCAGGAGTTCGACACCAGCCTGAGCAACAGTGAGACCCCAGTCTCAACTAAAAATAGAAAGAAAAAATAAAACCTTGATGGCCACCTGAGACTAAGCAAGAGGATCACTTGAACCCAGGAGTCTGAGGTTGCTGTGAGGTATGACGCCATGGCACCCTATCCAGGACACAGAGTGAGACTCTGTCTCAAAAAGAAAAAAAAAAATGTCAACATGGCCCTCAACTCGGCTTACTCTTCTCCAGCTGTTTTCACCACAGTTAAGATTGGGCAGCACAAGAACAAGGATTATCCAGACCAGCTAGATTTGAATTCAAATCCTCACTCATGTACTCTTAGCCCTCTGGGAGGCTGAGACAGGAGGATCCCTTGAGTTAAGGAATTTGAGACTATCCTGAGCAAGAGAAAAATCTCATCTCTACTAAAAGTAGAAAAAAAAATTACCCAGGTGTTGTGGCAGCCGCCTATAGTCCCAGCTACTTGAGAGGCTGAGGCAGGAGGGTCACTTGAACCCAGGGATTTGAGGTTGCTATGAGCTAGGCTAATGCCAGGCACTCTAGCCTGAGCAACAGAGTGAGACTCTTGTCAAAAAAAAAGAAAAAAAAAGGGCAACTAATCCTAATGCTGGTACTTACTAGATGTGTGATCTTAGGCAAGTTACTTAACCTCTCTGTGCTCAAGTTTCTCACTTCAAAAGGGGTATAATTACCCAACCTGCCTCTTTAAGTTGTTGCACAGATGAAATTGATTAAATGAGTAAAGTGCCTGGTGCACAGTGCATTATTTATTAAATTTGGCAGCAAAATGAGATGAAATAAGGAACTTGCCTTGGAAAGGGTATTTGAAGTTCTTGTACTCTATCCTGACTTTGACCTTGCTGATGTCACTTAATGTCCTGGAACCTCAGTCCTCAACTTGTGAAATGGGCCTGCCTTAGCTGCTGTCAGGGATCTTGAAGCTCAAACATGAGATTGGAAGTGAAAGGGCTTTTAAAAGGGTAAAAGGAAGGACTGTTATGGTCAGGCTGAGACATGTGAAACCCATAAGCAAAGGAGCAGGATGTCAGTATAAAAAGTTCTAGAATGTTCTCACCTGTAGTCATGGGGGCTGAAGAGGAGAATCCCCCTGAAAACTGGAAGTGCTAGTCAGGGACTGCCCTGTGTCTCACTTCACTGCCCCTCCCTTGACCAGACTGTCAGGGCTTAAGCAGGTATGCTGGGAGAGGGTGGCCCATACCCCTCTTGTTCTAGGCCTCCTTCCTCTTCCACAACCCTCACCTCTCCAATCCAGGGGATGCCCAGGACACAACACCTGAAAAGTGGCTCCCCCTAAGCCGCAGCCTCCCTGGGACTGCATCTGAGTCCACCTCCTCTGAGCCCAGGTTGTGCAGGGAGCTGGGTGAGGGGGACTAAGGACCAGTGAAGCAAATCCCCAGCCTTGGAGAGGGCAGGGTGGCTGTAGCTGCAAGCCCCCCACCCCACCACACACACACAAGCCATGCATGAAACAATGGAACAATCGAGAATTAGATATAATCAAGGTTAACCAGTTTGATGAAAGTGTTTCAAATTGTATATAAAACCAGCACACTGTACCCCATGATTGCATTAATGTACACAGCTATGGTTTAATGAACAATAAATAATAAATAAATGGATATAATCAAGGAAGACACAGTAGTCTGGAGTAAAGGTGGGCTTCATGGAAGAGGTGGAGCCTGAGCTGAGCTTTCAACTAGGGTAAGAGGACGAAGAAGGGCAGCATGAACAACCCATGCATGGCAAGCACAGAGCAGGAATTCGGTATTTGCTGAATAAATGAATGAGTGAATGAATATGGTGTTCTGGGGACTAGTGAGCCACTGAAATGCCTCCAGGGACCAAGCAGGCAGTGCCAGTGAATAAAACAGGTCTCGTGTAAGATGATAAGGAACCATGGAGACTGTGACAAACTGGATGGACCAGAAAGATTGCAAAACACTGTAAAGCCAAAAAAAAAAAAAAAAAAAAATCAATTTTTTGAAACTCTACAGGCCAAAATTGGCCCCTGGGTCCTAGTTCACCACTTCTCTGGTTTACCTGGCAAGGAGCTGGAGCAATTCCTATCAGCTCCCATATGGGCCAGAGGAAGAAAGAGGACACTGAGAGGATGAGCCTGGGCTCCAGAGCACCAGCTGCCCTCCACAGAAGGGCTGGGCGGCTCTCTGCAAAGCCTCAGCCTCTCCATCTCCATCACCCACAGTGGGCAGCTGTCTCCAGCCCCACTGGGCACGACATGGGCTTCCTCCCCGACATGGCTTCGCACCTCCAGCGGCTCAGGGTGCAGACCACACCCACAGGAGCAGGCTGGAACGCGGCTCTGGGGGCACTCCAGAGCTGGAGAATGTGCTAGTCTGTTCTTTACCACTAAGACTCTGTGACCAAGGCGATTCCCCTCACCTCTCTGTACAGGGCACCCAGCATCATGCCCGCCCTTCCAGTGCGAGGAGAGGTAGCCCAGGCGGCCCGTGCGGAATCCCGGCATCGCCTCCTGCACACTCCGCCCTCCCATTCCCCACGGACACGCACCTTTGGCCTTGTAGTACTCGTGCTGCAGCTCCTCCTCGTCGTCCTCCGAGGCATAGTCGAGCAGCTCCGCCTCGTACAGGGCTAGGAAGTCGATGTCCTTCTTCCGCTTCTTCTTCTTCTGGGGCATCATCTTGCCGGCTGCCCTTTCCTGGCACTTGCTGGCTCACCACACCCACCCCCTCCGGCCTCCTAGGACCCGAGGCCCTTGTTCCCTGAACTCTGGCACCCACAGAACCCCCTGTCACTTCAGGTCTGGGTGGGCCCACCTTTCTCAGGTCCCCTGTGGCCAAGAAGATTCTCTCCTCTCTGGCCCCAGAGCTGGCCTCGGCATTCTACCTCTGCCCTTCCTGGCTCGTCCCCTCCCTCCACCGGCCTCTTGCCAGTCACCTCTCCCTGGGTCCCTTCCCTGGGGTTTCTCCTTGGGCCTCATCTCTTATTCATGGAGACTGAAGGCAGGCTGTCTTCCTTCCTCCCCACCCCTCCCCTCCAGCCCCTTCTCCTCCCTTCACAGAGAATCAGGTGACATGGAGACCTGGGCTTCTGTTTCCCACCTGGCCTCACAGCAAGGGAGCCACCGGAGATGGCCCCACCCTGACCACTCCAGGGGAGGTGAGGCCCCCACCCCCACAGCCCACCAGGGCCCCGACAGCACCCCAGGGCCTGGGACCCTTTTGAGGAGGGTAGGGCCCCAAGCTGCCAAGCTCCCCGGGCTCAGAGGCCTCGGTGTCCCTCCATTATTCATGACCTCTGATCGTCTTACGGATCAGGCGGTGTTCTTACCGGATCCTTCTCATTCTCCCTCTCTGCTTGCATTTCCTTAAGACTGCTGGCTTCTGGAAGTGTCCATTCAGCCAGGGAAGACCTGGGCATTTCATAAGTACCACCCTCCCAAGCTCTCAGATGACCCACAAAGCATTTACTGAGTCCTGAGTCACTGCCCTTGCCTGGCTGGAGTTGAGGACCTGGGGAAGCCCACTGACCCTCAGGGGACCCCCAGCAATGCCCAGACAGGCTGAGCAAGACTCACCAGTATGTTTCTTTATAAGAAAGTTTCCTTATATTCTGTTTCCCGGTATTGCTCTCTGCACTTCAAATGGAAAAGGCCACTCAGCCCTTCCCTTGTCCACTCTTACCCCTACTTGGGGACTTCTGTGTCAGTCAGCAAGGAAAGTTCCTGGGTATCCTCTAGACTCTTCTAACTTGCCTATTTTGCTAATATTTTATTAGGGCACTTAAGATTTTATTATGATTTTTTTACAACAGGAGTTGTAAGAATTCTGTGTAAATCCTGAAATGCTGGAAATTTTCAATTCACTTAAAACTCTCATTTCCCTGCCCTTGCAAGGTTGTTGGACAAAACTGAGCCCAAGTCTACCACCCCCTGGCTGGGATAAGGCCTCTGTTTTCCCCTCCATAAAAGGGGGATAATGATCCCCTGATGCATGTTCGGCAGTTGGAGAAAGTGCTCAGTGTGCAGAAGCCTCTAGAACACATTAGAGGCTTAATAAATGCCCATGACTCCTGCAATAGATTGGGTATTTGTGGCCCCACCGAAATTCATATGCTGACATCCTATCCTTAAGGTGATGGTATTAGGAGGGGGGATGTCTGGGGGGATGTCTGGGAGGTGATTAGGTCATGAAGGCGGCACCTCACAAATGGGATTGTAGCCCTCATTAAAAGAGGCTCCAGAGAGGTCCCTCTTCCTTGGGGCCATGTGAGAACACCTGAAGTGGGCCCTCTCCAGGCACCAAATCTGCCGACACCCTGATCTCAGACTTCCAGCCTTCAGAACCGTGAGGAATAAATACGTTTCTGTTGTTTGCAGGCCACCCAGTCTAGGGCATTCTATTGTAGCCCCCAGACGAAGACAGTTCCTAATCTGAGTTTCTCTCTTTCTTGTAACAGTCTGGTGCTTTGTTATAATCTGACACTGCTCCTTCGGGCCACATGTGTAAAGCCAGCCTCTGTGTCCCCTGCCTTCCATAGGGCTCAGCCCACAGCAGCCTATCAGAGGTCTCAGCATCCTCCCAGTCTCCTGGAGGACCATCTTGTCAGGGCCTGTGGCAGCTTCTCCCCTACCAGGCCCAGCCATGTGCCCTGTGAGAGTCAGCATCTTGTGCCCTGTTAACTGTGGTGTTCCTGGTACCTATAACAAGGCTGGCAGGCACATATTGGGAGTCAGTGAGCATTTATTCAGTGGATGAATGAGCACACGTGAGCAAATTGAGGAAGATCTATAAAGTAGCCATGAAAACATAGTCCAGAGCCCAGAAGGAACACAGTATGGGCTGAACAGAAGCCACACTTTAAATGATGTGTCTGGGAAGTGGATACTATTCTGAGCACATCTGGCCTGGAGAAGAGAACATTTCAAAGGTCTGTGAGAGTTCCCTTCCCAAGTGTGAGCAATAGTCTTGTAAAGCAAGCACTGGACTGAGCTGTGCAGCTATAAGGGCCTTCCTCCAACTGTGGTGGCAACTTCAGAAAGGCAGGTCTTGTCCCAGTGCAGAGAGAACCCCAGGACACTGAGTGGTACTGGGCAACAGTGTCACAGCAACATTCAGGTGAGGGCTGGTGGCATCACTCGTCACCCTGAAGCAGGAGGTGCGCCAGCAGCCTTTGTGAATTTAGTCCCAACAGACCTCTATCCAGTGGCTTAGACAGTCTATGATGCCCAGTGGCAGATGCAGGCAGACTGTGCAGAAGCCATGACAGGCAACCCAGCCACCAAGATGAGCCCCAGGCCAGAGAAGAGTGCTAGCCAGCTCCCACCTCTGCTACAAAACCCAGATTAGAGAGGGGCTTTGTTCTCAGACCACTGGGCCCCGGTGGCCTGCTCTGAAGTCTAAGCTGGGGACCAAGACAAGGGCAGAAGGGCCAGGGCCTAGGGCCCCCAGCACAAGGTAGAATTCAGAGAGGAGGAGGGAGCCATCTGCAGTGGCAATAAGACTTTCCACTAGTACCTTATCTGCCACCTCCCTGTCTCACCACTTCTCTCTTCCTAGAACTCTGACCCCCAACTAGGCCCTGAACCCCCAGCACCTAGGACCCCCAGCCACCATCTACCCCTCCCTATTCTGCATCTACCCCCCCTCCAGGGGGTAGAAATGTGATTCCAGGAACACCTGGACTAGCCCCTCCAGAGGCACTCATCGCAATGCGGGCTTCTGGGCCCTCCACCAGGCCCACTGCTCACAATCTCTGAAGGTGAAACAGGAATGTACATTTTTGACAACCCCTTCTCCCCCAAGGTGATTTTTATATGTACTAAAGCAGGCATTCTCAAACTGCGGCCCACCTAGGACATTTATCTGGCACACCACGTGTTTTTGCCGCTGTTGCCTGTCCTGCTTAGCAGTCAACTTGTCCCAGGGCCCGCAGTCCGGCCCTCCAATGGTCTGAGAGACAGTGAACTGGCCCCCTGTTTAAAAAGTTTGAGGACCTCTGTACTAAAGTTTGGAAAGCATACGAGACTGTGCCCTCCCAGGTGACCTCAGTATCAGCACACCTGGACCAGCGGGCAGTCATCAGCAAGCTTCTGTCCCAGTGTGCACAGCCTTAACTGCACACAGGAGTCACCTGGAGAGACTAAATGTTGACGCCTGGGTGCCATCCCCAGGTTTGTTTGGTCTGAGATACAGCCTGGGCACCAGGAGTTCCGTGCAGCCATGCTGGGGATCATTACATCACTTCTCAGGTAACTCAGGTGTGCTAACAGGTGTCTTATAGAGGCATCACATGTGCTTTTGTACTGTCAGCCAAAGGAGTGCCTTTAAAGGGGAAATGGAGGAAAGATGGAAAGGAGGAGGTTTGGAAGGGGGCATCTGAGCCCCAAAGCCTGGGGCAACTTTGTTTCTGCACTCGTCCATGCAAGTCTCCCCCAGAGTAGGGGGCAACTCTGACCCAAAACATCCTCTTCCAGGAGAGATCACCCTCATTTTTACCCCCTATCTGCTGAGGGATGGCCCGAGCAGGGGTTCTCAAACTTTTTAAACAGGGGGCCAGTTCACTGTCCCTCAGACCGTTGGAGGGCTGGACTGTGGGCCCCAAGGCGAGTCAGCTGCTAAGCAGGACAGGCAGAGGCGGCAAAAATACCCAGCAGGCTGGATAAATGTCCTAAGCTGGCGGTAGTTTGAGGACGCCTGCCTAGAGTCCTCCCAAAGTCAGAAAAACAGGAGCTAAGTTTAATGGTGGGAGGCGCGCGCCCCCTGCTGGCAGAATGTGGTTTGACCTCGATGTTAATCACACTTGGATTCTTTAGGAAGATCTTTATGGTATTACCAGGAAATTACTAGAAAAAAATCATTTTGCATGAAGAGCCATTCAGAGGAAAAAGATACAACAAAAAACAGTAAAATACTCATTTTACTTGGGTACCCATTCAGAGAAAAGATACAGTATTTATTGGAAACTTTCTTTTATTGAATTCAAAATATTTTTAGAGAATCCCATGGCATTGGAGTACAATGACTAAGAGATCAGCATCTGAAACAATCTTGCATGAGTTGGGGTGTTCCAGAGAGACAGAACCAGAAGGATAGATAGATCTGTAGATACACAAGAGGGGACTAATTAGGGAAATTGGCTCACGTAAATATGAAACCTGAGAAGTCCCGTGACAGGCCATCTGCAAACCAGATTCACAGCAAGGCAGTAGAATGGCTCAGCCCAAGTCTGAAGACCTGAGATCCAGGGAAACTGATGGTATAACTCTGAGTCCAAGGCCAAATGCTTGAGAACCTATGGGATCCAGGGGTCAGGGTGCTGGTGCAAGTCCTGGAATCCAAAGGCCAGAGAACCTGGAGTTCTGATGTCCAAGGACAGGAAAAAAAGTGTTTCCCAGCTCCAGAAGAGAGAAAGAAATTTTCCTTTCCTTTGCTTTTCTGTTCTGTCTGGGCCCGCACCTGATTGGGTGGTGCCCATTCACACTGAAGGCAGATCTTCCCGACTCACCAGGCCCATCTCCTCTGGAAACACCGTTACAGACACCAGCAGAAATCACTCTTTGCCTGCTAACTAGGTACCCCTTAATCCAATCAACTTGACACCTAATATTAACATCACAGATACCAAGGGCTGATGGGGACATGGAGCAACTAGAACTCTCACACTGCTGGTGGGAGTGTA